CTTTCCCTTCTCGTTGCTTCTCTCAATCTTCAACCGCTGATTCTCCCCGATCATCTGCTTAATAGAAGCATGGAATATTTTTTCTGCGACATCTGTTATCCCCCATGGCTCGTTAAATGATAATTGGGAACTGAATTTTATATGGATTTTGCATAATTGATTGGCGTTTGTGCTTATTTCAGTTTCGGGCATTATGGGTTCGCATTTATGTTTTACGGATCTGAACTTATTTATATTGTTTCATAGATTATGAAATATGTCGTTTCTATTTATGTGTTTGATTATTCTGTTTACGTATATATTATCATTTTAGGCATATCTGAAGAACCTGCGCATTCACCGATTTAATTATTTTAATGCTTAGTTTTGCATAAATGGTATTTTGATTTAGGTTTTAAATTTCACCTTAATTTGCTTTTAACTCATTGTTGCGACTGCTCAAGTATTTAGACATTTTTCAGTTATATTTACTTCATCTGCATCTAGACATTCTGGGTAAGTTCTGTGCCCCACTATAGTGGCTACTGTTTTCCTCAATTTCCTCTCATTTCATTACTTTTTGTGCTGATTGAGGTTCAAGTGGATGAGATACATTTTTGTTTCTGTAGCTTTTCTTCAACAATTGTTGTAGCCGTACATCTCTTTTTGCAGCCATTTTGCTTTGGTTCATGACAACAATGCACTTAGCAAGCAGATGCTCTGTTTTTCGTGGCACTTGAAAGAAAATTATACTTGTAGGCAGTTCTACTGCAGTGTTTTTTCCAGTAGGATATTAATTTGTAATCACCTGTCTTTATTTTTTTCACTTTTGAAGTTGTTGAACCTTCTTATATTTTGATCTACTGCCTCTTAAGAGTTCTAGGTTGCTTTCATGTTTGTTATTCTTTCTTAATTTTCTATTGATGCTGCATGTCAGCAACGTTCTTCTAGATTCTGAAGAATTCCATATACTTATCTGATAGCAAATAACCAGAAATCTAAAATCATCCTTCTTGTCATATTATTCTGTCCGCACTACATAGATATCCGAGTTTTCATTTTTTCTAAGGTATTTTTGAGCTGAGCTTAAATGAGCATACTGTTTATTCATATTTAACACATTATAAAATTTATTTGTTTGAAATAAGTTTGTGCTCAAAGTGGCTCGTGAATAGTGTGTTAAGGTTTGGCTCAATTCAAATTCGCTTGTTGAATTGCCAATAGGAAAAGCTTATAATAAACATTATTTTTTTATTTATTTAATTAATTTTAGCCAAAACAAGCCAAACACAATCCAACAAAGATATGTTCATGTTCACGTTCGGCTTGTTTATAAATTGAGTTCAGCTATTTCGAGGTCAAGTGCTAGTTGATTGCGAAAGATGAGTTTTTTTACTGCCCTTAAGCTAAGATTATGAAAGGCTATTAAACAAGGCTAGTTAAGCATGCAAATATTATCAAATGAATTTAATATATCTTCTTGTAACTTTTATGTGAGGCATTTTTTATCTAGTTTTTATTAATGCCATCTATGATGGGATACAAAACAAAAACATAAAAAAAATTAGCCATCAACTCTTAACTTTAATAAACTTCTAAGGCAGGTAAAATGGGGAACATTTCTTTCCTTCCTCTTTCCTCAACATCACCTCAAATGACCCTGTCAAACTTTTGAAGTGACCTAATCTGGCCTTCTTTCTTGCTCGCAAGCTTTGAGTGACTTCCACACTTGCAAATCTTCATGCTCTCTCACACGCTTGCCTTTCTCTCCCCTTTTAGACTCATAACTGCTTGTTGTTTGCTTTGTTACTGATGTGGTCTTTGTTCTCCCTATGACTCCTGCCTTTGTATTGATTAGGACCTTAATAGGTTTTGGGCAGAATATGAGGAAGGGGATGGCAGCAGGAGGTTTGACTTAGGGTCTGTTTGGGGCAGCTGCAGCTTATCCAGCTTCTGCTGATAAGCAGCTTATCCTGATAATCTGCTGATGATCAGCTGATCCGGATAAGTTGTCTGGTTGTTTGGTTAACGCGCCTGGAAAACAGCTGATTGTGAAAAATTGACCCTTTTGCCCCTGGTCTGAATAAGCAGTTTAACTGTTTGGTTTGTGCGTTTTGTAAACAGCTTATTTGTAAATTTTTTGAGTTGAATGAATAATCTGTGTAGCAGAATGTTATTTTCTCAGATATCTAGAAATGAAATTGCAAAAAAATTTAATAATATTTATATAACTCAAAAAAGTTGTGATTACATCAAGAAAACATAGTGATATAAAAGAAAGTTCAATACATATTTATGAAACTCTAATATGGATTATAGAAAGACCCCAAAAAAAAGAAGAAATAACATGTTAAAATTACAAGGAAAAATATGACAATATTGAGTTTAACATGTAAAGTCACATCATGACGAATGTTGCCCGTTTCTGATACCTCAGATCCCCGAGCAAGCGTGTCTGAATGGGGTGCGGTATACACGGAAGAACTCGAACCATATGCGGTGGTCTCCTGTTGTGGTACTCTCGAACTCCTAGTA